CATCCATCCATCCATCCATCCATCCATCCATCCATCCATCCATCCATATATTTCACCAGAAATGTTAGGTTCAAATCTCCTGCTCACTTTCAGTCAGCAGTGGAGGAACATGACTGGGAGACAAAACAAATGTGTGAGGACTGTTGTTGACTAATTACTGAGGTCCCTTTAGCTCTTTGGCAGCTGTGCTTTCAGTCAGTTCCTCCCTGTTGGCATGTGGCAGGGTAAACTAGATGACTCAGTCTGCCTTTCTAACTGGACATGGAGCTTCCTCTCAAACTCATTTCCCCAGTCCTTCTTAGTGACTTGTGTGTGCGTGTATGAGTGTGTGTATCCATGTCTACCGCAGTTAAATATGGAACCTAGCAGCATGAAAAAAGAAAATGCGTGCAAAAATGATGATAATTTTGTTTTGCGTGACTCTATCCCCCTCGTGGGTGTATCTCGATCTTTTTCTATTTTCATTTTTTTCTCTCCACTTATCTTTCCCTCTTGCTCAGCACTGGGACAGAGGAGCCAGCTGGGTCGATTCTTGCTCTGGTTGACTTCACACTCTCCTGTCTCAAGGCTGATGACTAATGGTTCTAAAATCAACTAAGTTAGGAAAGAATAGGAAAGAATTCACCCACATACATTGACCAAATATCTCTGTGCTTACATTATCCTTGATATAGCACTTATGAAAGTGATTTATTATGTTGGTAGATTTAAACATTAGGAGACAAACATTCTTTATTTTTAATCACACATACACACAGCAGTCTTCTGTCCTCTGCAGCAATTAGCTATGAAAGGTCAATTAACAGGTTTATTTATGAGCAGGGGATGCCTGCTAGTTGTGTTGTAATGATTCCAGATACTGTCTGTATATGCGCAGGAAAATTGAATTCATGATGGATGTGGGCCATGGGCTTTAGCTGAGGGCTGCATTTGCTCTGCATTAACTATGCCTTAAAAAAACATGTTTCTTTTACCATTAAAAGCTAAATTGATTCTGAAAAAAATGTCTACAGTATGTTTCCATGGAAATGTTGGACAGTACACATTTGATCATATTTGCATAGAGTATTTTAGAAAAAGATAGTAAACTGCATAATTAGTTATTTTACTTCACTTTCTAAAGCACTCCTTTGGTTGACACTAACTCACATAAATATGTTGATATATTTAGGAATACATATTTAACCATAATAAGGTAATATATGAAAATGTAGTACAATAATGCTGTTTACAATATAACAGGAAATCAAAATGCCTTTAACTATCAAAGACGTAGAGACACACTATCGAAGACTTAGAGACACAAAAAAATAAAGTAGTCCTAAATTTGAAAACTTTTTTATAACAAGGGTTTGAACACCAAACTGAAAATGTTACCTTTTTACTTACATCAGCTGTGTTGGGAGTGTTGAGATATATCAGGTAGTAATATTTCATGTCCTTAAAGTTAGTGAGTTGGAAGGAGGAATAAAAAAGTTATTTGAATTTAAGTAACTTTGACAGACGCCAAATTGTGTTGGCATCTGTCAAAGCGTGTATTAGCATCAGAGCGTGTATTATCCTTTACAGATTTTTTGAGTCATTCAGTTTGCAATTGTAACAACCCACTCGAAGTCGTCAAAAAAGGTGAAGGAAAATCTTTGATCTAATGACAGGGTCACAGGTGGTCAAGTCTGACTGATGCACATTTGGAGTGAAGGCTGCTCCGTTTTGTCTGATCCAATAATACAGATGCTGTAGATCTCACTGTTAAAAAAGACAATGCTATTTACCAAGTATACACTCATAGGCACCATAATCCCTGATGGGTAATGTACGGTACTCCACCACACAGCAAACATGGTTCAAGACTAATTATGGAAAGCTGAGATGCTGACTTGCTGAAAAAGCAAGTCCATTCCATTTAGGCACCTCCCTTCAAATTACAGGCATTTAAGGATCTATTACTAAGGACCTGAAGCTCAGGTGAAATCCAGGCTTCAGGTGAATGCTTAGGGCAGATATATTCCATTTAAGACATGTGGTCGCAAATGTTATGGCTGACTGCCTTATATAAGGATGTCATGGTGCACAGAGCTTGTTTGAACTTGCATAGCTTCAGCAATGCTTTTAAGCTAAATTGGATCCTTCCAACGGAGATGGTTGGTTGAGAAACAGGAGCATGAAGAGAGTGTGACTGCAACCTCATCTGATGCCTTTAACACAAGAGGTCCTGTATTTCTCTTTATTTTCTTAAGCTTTTTGGATAATATTAGTGTATGTGCAACTTGACACAGATATATAAGGCATACACATGCTTTGCTTTTACACAGGCACAATCCAGTGGTTGTCCAGTCCTCGATTTTTGTCACACTGTACTGAATTAAGTCAGGAAGTTTAATTGGTCAAGGATCCCTTCGCTTCATGGAATAGAATTGCGCTGTCAAGAGGAAGGAGGATAAAATGAGTTCTGAGCTCTCTAGAGAAAGTAATTGGTGCCAGACAAACAGAAAGAAAGAATGTGTGAATAAGAGGGGTGAGTTATGTGCGTTTGTGTTTATGTCACCAATAAACCCTTAATGAAGCTGAAATATTCATCCTCCCGTTTGTATCATGACTTGGGTAAAGGTAGACAAGGGTGAAAAAAATGAGGAAGGATACAATCAAGAGTGGTATCCTTGGCAACTGCAGGTTACCTTAAATATGACTGCCTTTTGTAGTTTCTCTTTCCAATGCATGTACTTGTTCATGATAATGAGCATATCTGTTATGCTCTCAATCCTGTGAGTTTTGGAAATAAGGGATTTTCTGCATATAGCATTCTTTTTCTGTTTTCTGTATCAGTTGATACAGATACAAATCATATTAACTTCAAACATATGGTTGCTCTGTGGATATAAGAAATCACAGTGTGTTTTAATAAAAGGCCAAAATAGCATTTTTGTACTGCAGCAGGTTAAATGTGTTCTGCCAGCTTTCAGACTTTAACTGCTAAACCTCCAACCGCCCTGTCCCCCCACATACTCTCAGTCTTCTTCTCCAGGGAATGATAGTATCCTACCAATCAATATCAGTCATTGAGCTGTCTGCTGTTGACAATGGGAACTATCCAACACAATCTGTGTAGTTGCACTCTGCTGCCTATCATCTTTTCCACTATTTGAAACACTAAAGAATAGTCATGTATGCCTTAAACACCTGTGAAAACAATTTGTGTGTTGAAAACGGATGTAAAGAATAAGAATCGGAATTAGTGTTGGTAGACTTGCAATGATGCACATATATTAAAGGCTTATACTAAACTAAAAAATCATTTTTTTATAAAATATTATATTTTGAATGTTAAAAAAAATGTAAGTCATCCTGTTCAGACATTTTGGGAAATCTGGGGGGAAACTTAAAATATCCTGTAATAAAAATAAAGTGTTAAAAAATCACTGCAGCTTTTGTTGGATTTCTGAAAAGAAAACTTGACAGGATTAAACCTCTCTCAAATTTGACTAAAACTGCGATAATTGACTGTGTGGATGACACTGATGGTGGATTTGGCCTTTTGCTTCTCATAGTTAAACTTTTGGGGAAACTTTGTTTGGATTTTCAATTTTGAAGATTTAAGATTTCTATTTTCAGTTTGTGTCTGTGCTGAATTTAATGTTCTTAGCATTTTTAATTATGTGATACATGGGTGCAAAGCTAAGTCCTTAATCATCACTGATGTTGTGATGGAAACCAAATCTACTCACTGGGACTCAGGAGAAAAAGGCAACATTTCTAAATCCAAAAATGATAATATTTATTGGACAACAACAAAAAACACTGGTCCAAAAACAGGGCGAAATATATAAACTTAGAGATTCTGTATCTACTAAACACTGTGAATAAAGATGGGAAAAAAGAACAACGGAAAAAACGGGAAATAGTATCAACAAAAATGACCTGTAAGGGAACAAGTTTTAAACAAAATGCTGTCAGCAGATGGGGAGGTGAACCTGGCCATCTGAAATGCTTAGTCCTGGATTGGCTGCAAGGCCAAAATCCCCCAAATGCCTTCAGGTGCAAAATAAAACTAAACAAATCCCAAACCTAACAAGTGTCTTGAAATGGCTTACCCTGGGTATCGGGTTGTTTTCTTTATTGTAAAAAGCTTAAGGGCTGTCTGAGGGAACTGACTTCCTACAGGGGCTCAGATGCAGCATGATGCTCTCATATGAAGTTCTCCTTTCATTGTCAAATTCTCGCTTGCATTGTCATCCAGTATCAAGTGGTTCATAGCTGAACTGGAGACCACAGCAGTAGTGACATCTCTGACCAGTTTTTGCTTCTGTTTTTGTTTTATTGTGAAGCCTCGTCTACATACATTACAATATCTTAAAATAGTGACCGTGTTGTTGTGCCCAGTATCAAGTCATCAAATCTCATTTACCTTTTTACATTTCTTTGTCTTTAATTCCTCTCTAATTCCCACTGGCAGATTTTGAAGTAGATGTTATTTGGCGCATAAAGAGCAGAAGTGACTGCAGATTGTTTCATCTGTGCCTCATGTTGAGAGCAGGTCCACGGAGAGCACAAACTTTTTCTAGTCTTGTGCACAACACACTAACTGCATGCACTAAAGGCCTTTGAGGTGCTGCCACTCGTCTCTGCATGTCTTCTCTTTGTGTGCCATCCAACGAAAGTAATGATGTCTTTGAGAGCTGCTCTCCTGCTTACCTCTCCAAAACAAGGGCTTTAGTGGAACCACCATCTATTCATACAAGGATTTAATTGTAAACAGCAGAAGAGCTAATAGATGAGAAAGCCCAGAATTGAAGTTGTTTGCTGCCTGGAGGCCATGATTACTATGATTGTGTATAGTCATGATTTGACTTCATGAAATCAGAACTGCACCTTTAAACTAACAAAATATACGCAGTTAGTTATTTTCCCCAAACACACAAGAATCCGGATTGAATTGCTGTCCATCTCACTTTTTCATGCCTGCAGTTGTATTCATGTGAGTTCATGAATTTTTTAATTAATTGATGCCAAAGACTAACTTATAAAGCGCAAATTACATGAATGGAGTCAAAACAATAGCAAAAGGAATAACATGTTGTAGTAGATTATTTGCGTCCCTGTCCTCCCCCTTTGGATTTCCCAGAGGCCATCTGTGTTCTTCTCAATGTTTGGTACCTTGGGGGCTTGTTGGAAACCAGGCCAACCCACATTTGTGTGCCTTGGATTGCAGTGACTGCTCTGCAATGGTATTTCAAAGATATCTGTGTATGTCTCCCTCTCGCTTTCATTCCTTCTCTTTTACTTCTCTCTTCCACACACACTTTCGGATTTTAACTCCCTCTTTCTCCCAAGACCATGTCCCCTCTGGTGTGTGGATAGCACATCAATGGGAACATTAAAGGTTACAAGGCTCGACAAAACGACACTCTCACAACTCCAACTTGACACTTTACCACACACCCTTTGATCCCAGAGTCCCTCACACACAGACACACTTACACAGTGGTCTTGTCCAGACAGGCGTCCTCCTGCCCACTGTCTGCATCACTCTCTGTATAATCCTAAAATAATTCAACGCAAGATGTCAAGTATATACATGTGTTTTTTTTGTATTCTAAGTGGATGGAGTTTTATAGTATTTATTTAAAAGAAAATATTAAAGTTTAATGTCAGTTGCTTCACTAAAATAAGTCTTTTGTGGACAATAAGGCAATTATTACATTGCCTAATTATCTGACCCAAACACATATTCCAGATTCATGGAATATGTACAGTGCACCCCTTAAATATCCACAATTACTGTAACTGGAAGAACACAAATGAGGCTGTAAAACTTGTTGATGTAAGCTACTATCTCATAAATAAACACTAGGTTAGCCTTGAAAATGAGGCAAGGCTGTTTGTCCAGCAACCTTTTCGCTCACAAGCTTAGATGCACTACATTTGAGCTTTGTGGCCAGCAGTGATATGTAACTGAGGGGGGATAATTGAGAGCCAGTGTTGGTAATTTCAATTAAAGGCCAGAGGCCTATTTCCTCTATAAAGCAAATAAAAACACAAAATAATGAATTTTACGATAGAACTATATTGGTTTATTTTTCAATATGCCGTTCTGTTTGAAGTCTTTCAGGTTATTATTTTCCACAGTGTGATTGTGTTAAAGGAGTTGTTGCCCTTCTCTTTTGTATGTCAGGGCCATAATTGAGGGCTTCCTTCCCTCAATTACTTTTCTCATTTTCTCTAATTATACAACAATCTGGAGTCTTGTTTAATTCAACACACTAGCAGGTGTACAGAGGTATGCGTGCACCGCTCTAGTTTGGTATCATTAGGGGCTTCTCTGTGTGCTTGTGTGAAGAGTGGCTCAGCTGGCATTGTTAACGATACAATACTGCCCAGAGTAAAAAATAAATGTACTTTAGGAAGGAAGTACATTTAAAATAAAATAAAAACCTCCACTTTACTATGACATAAATTAAAAAAACTGCCCAGCTTTATATAAATTGAAGGACTGTAGCAATTCTACCAATTAAACCCCTTTCCCGCCAATACCCGAATTTTCCTCACATATACCATGCTGCCTAACAAGTCAAATCCTCTGCATAAATGAGCCAACCGACTTAACACATCTTGTGATATTGGATTTCTCTCCATCTCCCTTAACAGTTCGGCTTCAAGGCTTTCCCAATTATTTTAATTATATGTCAAAGTTCATTTTTGGTATAAAAGGATGAAAAACTTTATTTTCTTCCTTTATAAACACACAGTGTACATTTAAAAGTGTTTAGGGAGCTGGAGGTGAGTATCCATTGTCATCTTAAGCATGCCCATATGGTGAGATTAAAACTTGTTTTAGTCAGAGATTGATTGTACGATGTTGAGGAACCCTACCAGAGTTACCACAAAGCCTTTCAGGGGTGAATGAAATTACTTCACAATTGTGGTGCTTCTTGTATTTGTCAATGAAGAGGTCATTGGTATCTGTCCATTGAATTTCTGTTTGATACTTCAACTTGACATTGCTTTTAGCCACTAACACAACAACACCCGTATTAAAACCCAGGTGAGATCCGGTCACTGCACCATTTACTCAGTCATTCTCCACCTTCCATTCGTGCCGTACCTCTTTGAGCTTAAGCCAGACTTTTCTCCTTGGTAGGTCAGGACCGGGTTAATTGAACCCAGGCTTTCTTTGGTCTGATATACTTACACAGAAATCGATGGCAGACATGCCCCCTAACCACAGCATGCAGGAATTACCAGATGGAGTTTGTAAGTCAAGTCACTCATGCATATGTGCCACCCCTCTACGCCTGCACCTGCTCGCTCTCATGCAATCCTGAGCTGTAGATGCAGAGACATGGCTTACAAGCAAAGTGCTGACAGAACAGTACAACCTTAGGTACAGTCTTTATGCTTGCGGTAACACCTGGCCCTCTTCTTTATTTTCGAAATTAATTTTTTATCTAGGTGACTTCAGGTTTAGGCGCCTTAGGTGCAGTTACACTGTAAGCATACAGTGTAACTGCAGGGAAAGTTGAAATGATGCTGCAGCTCTGCTGGTTTGGGAAAAATAAAACAGTTCATGGATCAAACATTTCTGTTGATTTAACAAACCCTCAGATCACCTCGGACAGTAAAAACTTTTATTGTCACATATGCGATTGAATATTAGGAAGGCCAGCGTCTGTGGTGAAACCCCACAACACCAGTTGTGAGAGTTGCTTTTGTTCTTAGTTTGGAGGAAAAGGTTTCCACATTTGAAGCTTTTTTTTCCTCTGCCAGACCAAATAGGCTTGTTTTTTGATTAGCTGGGTGTGATGGGCTTTTGGTGCTTTGGAACACCGCAGTAATTAGGCTGTCAGTCACAACCAGATTGCTGGTGGCTGAAGAGGGGAAGTTTTCAGGTGAGACTGCTCCTTAGTTTTGTTCTTGTGTGTCCACAAACTATTACAGATAAAAGAACACCGTTTCTCAACAATAATATTTCTCCTTAATAAGCGTACCACAAATCCATGTACACCATTAAGTACAAAAAGGATCTTTAAAATTAATCAGAAATAATCCAGAGATGAGATCTCAAAATACAAGATTAACTTTCATGTAAATCTAATGGTGAAAATTGATAAACTTCAGAATTCTGTACAGGTAATTTTTAGGTTCTTAGACATTCAATTTTGAGGCTGGGACATAACAAATTTTTATGGATCCATTTCTGTGTTTTCAGTTGTGGTTCCTTTGTGCTGGAATCCTTTGGATTTACACTTCAAGAAGCTTTTACAAAAGTTGGCAAAGAACATCAGATCAAATTTATTCTTGAAATCTGTTATTTGGACCAGAAGCTCAAACTGAACTTTTGTTGCTGCGGTGGCCGAAGATGTCTCTTTAAAAATGAACTCCAGTTGTTGTTTGAATTGATAAACTCACATGAATTCTGTTGCCCTCTGCCTTTGCTTTTCTGAAAACAGATTGTCTTTGAAGGGATTCGAGGTCCAAATTTTGAGGGAGACATTGCCATTGATGACCTGTCCATCACCAAAGGAAAATGCAAGCAAGAGAACACTCTCGCTAACGCAGGTAAAACAGGTAAGCTAGAGGCAGAAATTTGTGTCAAAAACACGTAAAAAATAGTTATGTGTTGTGATTTTAATAATAATATTAGAATCTGTGTAGTGTCAGAAGATGTGAAATGTGTCAGGCATTGCGATTCTTAAAGGTTTTTAGGATTTGTAGCTTCTGTATTTCCATAAGACCATTCTGCTTACAAAGAAACCCAAGAGTTGATTTGAACTAAATTTAGCTACATTGATTTTAGCTTATTTAACAGTCAGTGAAGAAAAAACGGCTGAAGAGACTTTATTATCAAATAAGAGAAAAGAATAGAACTCAATGTGTTCGTCAATGTTGGGCAGCATAGAGAGAAATATTGTGTTTGTAAAGCCTTAAAGGGGACAAGTGGACACCACAGGGCATCAGCATTGAGGCGAGCACAAAGCATCATTATTTGTTCCCCTTCTGGATTTTCATTAACGACGCTGTTCCCCTGTATTTTTCATCCTGTAACTTTTCACAGCACACCTTTGCTAACTCTTTTCATCCACCTTCATTATATCATTTTTTCCATCTTTTCCTTTGCGTGCTCCTTTCACTCTTTGATATAGATGTACATAAATCTCCAAACCTTGTTCATTCCTGTAAAAGGTTGTGTTATTATACTTTTGAGATGAAAAATAAATACAGAGAGGGCTGTTTAAACTCCGAAAACTGATCAGCAGTGAAATAATATCCACCATATTATGTATATTGATTTAATATGAATTCAATTAAAGTTCTTTATTCAAATCCTTTGAAAAATGTTCTTACTCTATTTAAATGTATCAGGATTCATACAGAGGTGGTGTTACCTTCCTCAGCTGTAGGGTGAGAAGAAGAGCACTATCACGACAGATTCTTGTAAGACTGTCTTGATGCTGTGAAAAAACATTCTAATGGGAGAACAAAGCAAGGAAAACTCAAATAGAGCAAAAGAAGAACTGCAGGATAAATATTAATAGAACTCATGCTGTCTGCAATGACTTATAGTACAACAGACCAGATGTTATTCAACTGCACGTAGCGTGAATATACGAAGCATTCTTAACTTTCGCAGTTACATACTATAAAAAACATTAGAACCATGAAATGGTATCAAAACAATGATAATAAAATGGAAAAAAAAGATATTCACACAATGAATTATTAACAAACCTTTATATCAAACCTTCTGTGTGAGATTTCTCTGTTTGAGTATGAACATGGACGAGGGTGTGTGCTTGCTGCGATCCAACACGTATGCGCATGTAGCAACACCAGCGGATAGAGTAAATAATTGATGAAGGTGTAAACAGGAAGAGGAAAGCTCTTGAGCTCTCTGAGTGTGCGTGTATGCATATGTATCCTGCGGGTTTTGTGCGGGCAGAGACGTACAGAGCAGACAGATGGGTAATTATCAAGCAGGCAGCTCAAGAGTCTTCCAAACTGCAAGAGACACAATGCATTTGTCTCAAGTGCAGATTTTTAGCTCCATGGATTCTACAAGGTGAAGTCAGAATGAGAGCATTAGTGTAAAATAACCCAAGTGAGAAAATAAAACAATATATAGCAGCATTTTCTAAATTGATACAAGCTGTATGGGATCTTGTGCAATACTCTGTTGTGTTGTATTTTTAAATAAACAAAATTTTGAAAAGGTTTCATTTGCATCCAAAGTACCTGCGTCTCTGTGCAGGTATTAAAAATTCTAATTGGTGATGTCCCAGTGAGAGTAAGTCAGTCTGTAAAACCACGATGATACATCGCACACGTACGTCCCTCACTCACAGAAAGCTCACACAACCTCATATGAAAATGTATCTACATTATGCAATAATTCTGGTCCTTGTAAAACAAAGCTCCCTGTACTGCTAATACCTTAGGGCGGCCATGGAACTGTGAATGCTGAAACCTTAGAAGGTTTTAGTCTGCATGCTGAGTTCACATATATGCTGATGCAAAACTTCTACCCAAGTAAAGTTTATTTAGATTATGTTTTGCAAAGAAAGCTACTGGAAAAAAAAGAATGCACTAAGTTCATGACTGGCCATGGCTATGAGCACTGATCATTTACAGAATGTAAACTATGTGCCCTCAGTGGGAACTATTATGCTTAATGAAGGATGGTGCCTGTCAGTTACAAAGTCCATCCCACCTGCACAAATCACAGAACTCTACCTGACTCCAAAATGAGAGAGAACAGGATCTGAAAGTGTCCCCTGTGTCTATGTGTCTCTTCATTTATTATTCAAACCGAATTGCAACAAAACTTTGTACGACTTTTGTTTCATTATATTACTTTCTTAAGTAAAATGCAACCCTACATTAAAAAGGCTAACCAGCCATTTCAGACAGCTAAAGGAAAAGTTTTTTCTTGAGGAAATGTTTCAAATTGTGCAAGGATCTGCTTGCTTATCAGTCGCAAATAACTCGGAAAAGTGTAACACTTATATCATCCTCAAAAACTGTAGTGCTCATTTGATCCATGTTGTTGCTTTCGATTGTCATTCGTGTTCTTTTCATTCATTGTTTTTAAGAATAACATTTGAATTAGTCAGCAAAAGGTTGGAGAATCCTACATTACTTTTATTATTTTACGTTTTCTTATAATTCTAATAATCTAAGTGCGCATCGAAAATTTTTGTTTTTAATATAATTAAAAAGATACCAAATAGAAATGGATCAGCTCCAAAGTTATTGCCACAGCAAGTTCGGATCAACTGAGTATAGCAGCACATATCAGCAAACACATCACACATTACTTTTCATAATTGTGGCTTCATTTTTCATTGGCAGTGACAGTTCATTTAAAAAAGTTACCTTATGTATTTATCCATATGTATCTCATCTTTATGTACATACCCTCGTACCCATCTTCATTGCTTTCTTCATTCCTTTTGGCCTTTGGTGGCTGGATGCTGTCTCATTTCGTTACTGCTATAAGTGATGCTGAGATTTAAAATATATTAATGTGAAAGAAGAAAGCATGTGTGCATGAAAGCACATGTGGTAGAGGAAAATGTGCGAATAGTGGAAATATATAGATTCACTGTCTGACAGTCAGAAATTTGTGGAACACTGTGTTCCACTTCATTTTGCCATCAACATACTGCATGACAGGAATGTGTGTGAGCGTGTGTGGTGCATACTGAACTAAGCTTTCTTATAGATATTGATTTTATGCTGGAGGATGGACACTTGATATGAAACCATATTGATCTTTTTAATACAATACCCACTTTTTTATTTATGAAACTACGTTAGAGCACGCTGCATTTGTCATTTCTCTATAAAAGAGGGGGTAGATTGTGTTGTGTAGCAGAAGAGAATATGAGTGTACAATCCCACTGTGCAATGTGGAATGTAATATTTTATAGTGAAAGAAAGACTGTAAACTGTAGATGGTCTTGAGTAGACAACAGGGGGTGGTTTTGATGTGCAAATTAAATCAAACTAGGTAAGAGTTGTGTATCTGTTCTCTTATGCAGAAAACAATCACAAACAGCCAAGGAAACAAAAACACAAGCACACAAAAAAAGTATAATGATGATGATATCAATCATAACTTCTTTTGCTCATTAGAATCTCAAAGCTGCCATGTCAGTGTGTGGGATCTTAATGGTGAATCTCCCCGTTTCTTTTGTTTACTCACCCACCCCCTCATCCATAGTCTTATCCATCTTCTTATGCCCCCTTTTTCCACTCACTTTCCCCACTTTCTTTTATACTTGTAAAATGATAAAACACAAATCCTATTTCTAAAACTCCCCTACCCTTTTTCTGCACTGGTAGCATAGTTTGATGCATATATCCATAAGATTTTGTAAAATAAGAATATATTCTTAACAAACGTACACTGGATGATCTCATGCCCACTTGTGAGTAACCTAGATCATTTCCATTTGCTTTTAAAAGTACCCTAAATTAATTATATATGGCAGCAATACATGCTTTTAGAAACCACATGAAAGTTACCCATAGCTCATTTGTCAATGTAAGACATTATACAGTGTGTTATACTAATGAAAATTAAAAACCATAAGGGAAAGAGAATAGGAATGATTTTGGATTGCGCAAACTGTGTTCTATCCCATGCTGGCATGGTTCCACAACCATCTTGCCAGATTGTGTGTCACTAGTGTGTTTTGTACATTTTGACACATCTCTGTGCCTGACTGCAAATAACTGAGTAATTTATTAGAGAAAATACATAAATGTATGTATTGAAATTGCGTTCTGTGATACCAGCAGTTTCTCTGTTTGCACTTTTCTGTTTCCAACATTAGCCAATGTGTGTAAGCGCGGTCAGAGTTGTGCTTATACTTATGCCCATTTTAATGTGCCAGTGCAGCTTGGAAAATCCCACACATTTAATAAGAATGTTCTCATGCACTCCTTATACACAAACGTCTGTGCTTAAGCAGAATTGATTAAATGAGGGCTTAGGGCTTCCCTTATAGCGAGCCACCAGGGGCATTATTCAGAATCAGCTTGCAAACACCCATATGAGATCCGCATAGAAACTATTTCAAACCTTTCATTTTACATAGTCGGGTGAAAACATTAATTATGCAGATCTGAAAATCTGACAAAACAACTGAAAAGCTCTGGTGAAAGTGATTTAAAAAAACTTTCCAACACATAGGTGAGGTATTTTCAGATTACTTCTCTTGAAAATTTCACCAAAACCAAATCATTTATAAATAAATTGATAAATTTAACCATTGTATGAGTTCGACATTCATTTTAGTAGTGTGTTTTCACTACCAAGTTCATGGGAGATTTATGTGTATGTGCAATACTGAATAATGTCCCAGATAGCTCCCCACATTTCTATACTGTATACATTAAAGACCTAAATCCTTCAACCAAAAAATTGGAAAAGTATACACAGTACAACTAATGTATTGTATTTCCATTTTCTTTTGGAAAAGCAAAGCCAAGATCAGCCTCATTGTAGTCATACTTACAAAGAATACAATTTAATAAACCTGGATTATAGGTG